GCAATAGGATCATTTAAGGCTGGGAGTTCAAAACTAGCCTGGGCAACATAGTGAGATTCCATCTCTTAAAAAACCAAAAATTAGCCGGGTGCAATGGCTCACACCTGTAATCCCAGCACTTTGGGAGGCGGTGGCAAGAGGACTGCCTGAGCCCAGGGGTTCGAGACCAGCCTGGGCAACTTGGTGACATCTCGTCTCTACAATAAATCAAAAAATTATCCAGGCATGGTGGCACATGCCTGTAATTCCAGTTACTTGGAAGGCTGAGGCAGAAGGATAGGCTGAGCCCAGCAGGTCGAAGCTACAGTAGTACTGAGCGTGCCACTGCACTCTAGCCTGGGTAACAGAGTAAGACTCTGATCCCCCCACAAAGTACTTTTCCAAGAAAGTGCTAGAAGACATCATTAAATATCAAAGAACAGTTAGTTTCAATTCCCAAATTCTGTGTTATAGTTTAAAGATAATGTAATGTGTTTATAATACAAAAAAGTTAACAGAATGGCCTACAAGAATGCCTCATTTGGTCAAGAATCTCACATGTGTTGTAAAATATTCATGAAACGAAATGTATATTCTTATATTTATTTACTGAAACTTCATTAGTAATGAGCCCACAATAATTAAATAAGCAGTAGCATAAAGATATGCTTTCAAAGGAAGTTTAGGAAAGAATTCTTAGAAACAGCTCAGGGGCCACATGATGATGATAATCACAATCATGGTTAACTATATGCTAGGAACTGTTCTAGAAGTTTTACTTACATCTAATAGTTTAATCCTAACAATAAAGGCACTGACTTTAATGGTCTAGGAGGAACCAGATAACAAGAGGTTAAGTAACTAATCCAAGGGTCACATAGTAGTAGAGATGGAATATGACCCAATGCGGTCTACCTTTATAACCCTGATTCTAAACATTTCCTGCCTAGTCCTTCCAGATAATCTATAAAAATGGAAGTTATCAGCCGGGCTTGGTGGTTCAGCCTGTAATCCCGCGCCTTTGGGAGGCTGAGGTGAGTGGATTGCCTGAGCCCGCGGGTTCAAGACCTGCCTGGGCAACTTGACCAGACCTCATCTCTACAATAAATCAAAAAATCAGCCGGACATGGTAGCGCATGCCTGTAATTCTGGCTACTCGGAAGGTTGAGGTGGAAGGATCGCCTGAACCCAACAGGTTGAGGCCGCGGTGGCCAGGAGCAGCCACTACACTCCAGTCTGGGTGACAGAGTGAGGCTCCAACTCAAAAAAAAAAAAAAAAAAAAAGGAAGTTATCATTAAAGAACCCAGGGACGAAAGAAACATCACTACAAACTGTGGGAAAGATTAAATATTTTGGGAATACTAACAAACTCTTTGGCAATTATAGGTAGATTGATATGGCTGGGATATGATTACTCAGTGGATTGTCCTTGCTTAATTTAAATATGCCTTAAACTCGATCACCTTTTATTTGACATAGACAAGTATCCACCATTCAAATTTCCTTGATTCTGCAAATCTAGGAGCATAATATTTAAAAATGAGATTTATATAAGGGTTTACATAACACATAACTTCAGTTCAGCAAACTCTATCCAAAGTTGCTTTTCCAGACAAAATAAGGAGTTCTTGAGGCAATATGCTCTTAAAAGTTTACTTCCAAAAATATTTGCTGGGGTGGGCTCAGGCCTAAATAATACCAGCACTTTTGGAGGCCCAAGTGGGAGGACTGATTGAGTCTAGGAGTTTGAGACAAGCCTAGGCAAAATAGTGAGACTTTGTCTCCACAAAAAAATCAAAAAATTAGCCGGACATGGGGCATGTGCCTATGTAGTCCCAGCAATTCAAGAAGTCGAGGCTGCAGTGAGCCATAAGTGTGTTACTGCACTCCAGACTGGGTGACAGAGTGAGAGCCTGACTCAAAAAAAAAAAAAAGCACGGCTTTGTGAGAGCAGATTAACAAAACCACAACAAAATTTATCACTTCAATTAAGCCTATCTGTCAGGATTCTTTAATCTGGAGTTCATTTCCATACCAATAAGGGAGATACAAAGGGCACTTGGGAAAAAACAGGAATGATAGTAGCACCTAGCACTATCACCTCCAAGAAAGGAGAGGGGCTAAACAGGTTCCGAAAAACCAATGGAACCAAAGAGAGTGCTCAGAAAGACAAAGAATTAACTTTAACTCTTCTACAGTGTCTACTGGATGAAATAAGTAGAGAAACGACTCTGTATATGATAGTGATTAGCATAACAATATTAAATTTACAAACAATTTGGGGAAATTTTTTTTAGCAGGAGCAAAGAAATTAATACAGCTCCTTCATACTCTTTAGCAATAACATTCCCTTAGTAGAGACATGTGTTACAAGGATCCTCTGTCATTTCCACCTGTCAGAAAGAAGACACCTCAATACCTGATACTAATGAAGCATGAACTCAGAATAACTATTCTGACGAATGTAACTACTTTTCTTTCGTTCATCTATCTCATTGCAAATCTTGCCAAGTTCAGTTTTGTTATTCTACAATTTATAAGACTAAATCAGATAAAAAAGAAAAAAGTTTGTTAAAAAATGTGTGTATTTAAATGTTATGTGTGGATAGACAGATAGATAGAGCCCTTTAGTACACAAGAGTAAACCAGGAAATATTACCAAACTATATCAAGATGCCTGGAGACAACCCTAGCAGAAGAGAAAGAACATCTGAGACTTCAGTTGCAGTTCAGGTTCTGGCACTACTTAAGCCAGATGACCTCAGGCAAGCCATTGACCAATTACCGATAGTTTCTGGGCCTTAATTTTCTCCTCTTTTGAATTTAAAGAATCTAACTATATGTTCACAGAATTTTCTTCTAACTCTAAATATTACTTAAAGTAGGTTTCAGTAAAATAATGTTTCTTTCTGAATATAAGTAAGACAGGGCTACTTCTAACCTTTAGTTAACTATATGTTAAGCATCAAAAACTTAAGCTTTTTTATGGTGACCAAAAAGGATCATCAGATTTAAAATTCCAAAGGCAAAACTATGCTCATTTTCCAGGCACCTACTTATTAACCAAGGTGACTAATTCAGTGGATCACATATCAAACTATTCTTGGCTAGCTTTATTGTCTTCAAAAGTAGGACAAAGATCATCTCACAAATGTGATAATATTTTCAGAAAATGACGCAAAGTAACAGTATTATGCATTGACACATCTACAGCTCTCAGTAAAATGACACCATATTTTCATTTATATAGTGATTCCCCACACTTACTATCTAACTTAATCTTTGTGATAATCCTATGAAATAAACTGAACAGTACTTTTATCAACATAATCCAGACCAACTTAATGTTATATAACCTGTCAGTCATTAGTCAATAAATGTTGGAGCCCAGACTTCAATCCAGGTCTTCTGATTTAAAGGTGAATAATCTCCAAAATCCTAACAAGTGGTGATTCAAGTCAAAGGCAAGAAGTTGAAAAAGTGAGAAAAACTGGATAATCAGTCCCTGGAAAACTCAATTAAACATAAAGACTATGAGATCAGCTTTGACGGTTATACAGTCAATAAGAAAATGTTAAACTAGTGATATATACATCACAATTTCATATCTTGAAAATCTTGTCACCAGGTTTTAAAGACAAGTGTGAAAAATTTCTAACTCAAAACTAAGAGCAGTATGTAAATTAAATAATAAATGATTAAACTAGCCATAGGTAAGCTGCTAAAAGGCATCAAACCACTTATTGAAGTATTTCAGAAACCTGATTATACGCATATTTTCTTCTAGAATGTGACTCTCAGAAATTAAACTGTATTAATCAATTGTAGTCAATTAGGATATGTCCCTCAAAGAAAAAAAAAATCCTTCAGTGCTTTAAAATAATATAGGCAAAGAGGTAAAATATGAACTATTTCTACTTGAGCATCACATATCTACACAAATCAGTCACATTTGTGTACCACCATCCTTCTTCTACAATAAAAACATAAGCTAGAATGCATAAAATGATACCTAGTAAGTAATAGTTTCTTCCTTTCATGGTCTATTCAAGAGTACAGAACAACTAAAACCAGAGACAAAACAATTGGAATATTTTCGCTATCATTACAACGTAGAAACACTTGTACAAGTTCCTCAAATGATCAATGCAATCTGTCTACAAAATCTCTGACAGACCCCAAAGAAAAATGGAAAAATATTAAAGTAAGGATAAGGAGCGATGTTCCCAAAATACGTAAACAGTGCCAGCCTACATATTATTAGATTTTGCATGGAGTTGCAAGAAAAAAAAAATGACTGTGTAATATCTACTGGAGGTCAAAAGTAAAAGCAGTGTGACACAGGGCCACATTACAGCTTCTTGGAATTTCAGAGATTAAGTCAATCTTCATGTTTTACTGAAATACCGCCACATAATGAAATACAGGGCTCGGGGGTCAGGGATTTGGAAAGGCAGAGAAGTCTACCCCACGAAAGCAGTGAGAGACTGGAGAAGGTCCTCTCTGCAAGGGCTCTACGGGGCGAAGGCCCATTCCCTCGGCTGCCCTGTACCACCAGCGATTCAGATGACACTTGCACGCCAGAATTTCGTTTATGAGCGGACACATTTAGCATCATGCGCTAGAGATTGAGGAGAGCAGGAACCAAACTGACAGACCCTGAGCAAGCTGGGTCATCAGCAGGGAAGACCTTCTCCACTTGTTCCAAGGTCCTGGACACCCCAGGACGAACGGGTTCTCTAGGAAAGCCTAGTATCGCTTCTAAGTCCGTGGGGAGAACAAACGGTCGGGAATCAGGTGTCTGGGTTCAATGGCCCGGTGATCAACCATGAGGAGATGTCCCAAATAACCTGGCTAACGCCAGGCTGAAACATCCGAAGTCAGCAGCGCCCTAGAACACTGCTGGAAGTCGAAATCACGGTGCCCCAGATCTGCACTAAAGGGGAGAGCAGCGAAAGAAGCCAAGTCCTGAGGTCAGTCACAGGTTTCCGTCCCCAGTTCCCCGCGTTAGTTTACCTACCCGCTCCGAACCCGGCTTCTCCGGATCTCAGGATCCTGGAAGCCGCTTCTGAACGACGCTCACACCCGCCGCTGGGCTCCGGCCAACCGGAACTCGCCTACATCACTTCCGGTCCAGTGACCCTCCTCTTCCCGGAGACCGCCTCCAGAGGGAAAAACGTTCCCCGCTCCTTTCGGCAACCTCAGTTAATCCTCGCGGGATTTCAATTCGGCTCCTGGTTCCGGCCCTGTGAGCGTGGTAAGAGGAATGACTGCTTGCCTTGTGGTTCTTGAACCGGAACTTGTTGCCCAGGAACCCCGGAAGAGGTACCTCGCGCCATAGACGCGTGTTCGCCGCCCAGAAGTGAAGAACAGAAGGCGCGAGTGAGAGGAGGTACTTTAGGTAGGTTGGCTCCTCACAGGGCGAGGGAGAGGGAGAGGGAGAGGGAGACGGACAGCGGTAGCCACTCTCTCTCCGGTTGGAACGTTTCTTCTCACCTCATTCAAAAACCGCCCTCATTTTCTTTATAAACTGTTCTCCGTCCAGTGGCCATGGAGCCGTCTCTTCCTGTTCTGTGAGCTGTGCTTTGGGAGAAGGGAGCAAGCTTCTCTAGCCGGGTAGGGGACGGAGGGGACACCCAGAATTTCTAGTTCCTAGGAAAGCCTCCATTCAGCCTGCGTCGATGCTCTGTCTCCGAAATGGAGAAAATAACGAGCAGGCTTCACACTCTCTTTGCTAAGCATTTATTTAGTACTCACAGCGTTTCAAGCTTTTGAGCCATGCATGGGAAATAAAAAGGTTTCTAAGAATGTAGTCGAAAGTTTTTTTCCTCGTATCACACGGAGATATTGCCTAGAGAGATGTTTAGGCCTTGACGATGTACCAGACGCTGGGATATATGCCGTACGGTAGTTAGGTACCATCATTACCGAGGCTCCGAAGAGGAAACGATTAAACCTGCTGTGGATGGTAAAGTCTTCACAGACAGTGCCATTCGAACTGGGCCTTTGCGGGTGAATAGGATGTTTTTGATTGTGTTTGTTTTAAATGGAGAAGACTGGAAAAGAGGTGAGTGGATTGCCGGAGCCTGCGGGTTCGAGACCAGCCTGGGCAACTTGGCAAGACCTCGTCTCTACAATAAATCAAAAAAAATTAGCCGGGCGTGGTAG